CCAAGCTTTGAAATACTCCAAAATACAGTTCCCTTATATTTTGAATATGAAGTACATAGCTTTAGTTTTGCATAGTTCAGAACCTTGACAAATTTCTAAGAGCCACTTATTATTATTAATTGTATTTGTATACTCTAAGTAAACATTTAAGGTGACAGGAAGCACCGGATTGCAAAGCGTGCAAAGTACTTCTCCGATTTCGACGAACAGAATAAGGTGTTTTGAATAGTAGTAGCTTGGGGCTTCATTACGGGATTGAAGGGTAAATCCCGTCTAAAGGATGTACCCCCGCATTCGTCTTCCATTCAGAACCATTGTGGCGGATTGAATGCGTGCGTGGCCTATACAATGATTTGCGGTGGCCAGCTGATGTACAAGTCAGTGCTTTAACCCTCCTAGACGAGTCTGGTACCAGTCAACCGACCCCGGAGGAATGGAGGACCTTGTTGGTCAAGTTCTAACAATCGATGTTTAAGCCCGTGGCCATGCGGGTGTGATAGTGCGTCACTTGCCACTACTCCACCTCCGCCCAGATCTTCATGTATACTTCATTACGTAGAAGCGAATTTTTTCATGAGGAACTATTTGTCATGAAGCATTTGTTTTCCGAAAGTCAAGAGCGAACGTCAGCCACTAACTAACCATCAGCACTACGAATTGAATAAGATTTGTGCTCATAGCGGATTGGTATTCCTCTAATATTCTGACACAGTGGTTTTGCAACTTAACGGTAATGGATGTCATATAGATATTTGAACCAACGCCCATTATCTTTTTTTGTCCAAATACCCGGATTGCTTTAATCTCTGGTAGGAATCCGTGGCCTACACGTAGTGTATGCCACCGTTACCACGTCTTAACTTCTAAGGTTTTTTCCTCATAAGAAGTTCACTTTGAGTTTTTTGATTCATGATTTCTATCAAATTTTCAGAAGCAGATGTGGTTTCTGTGAAGCAGTTTGACAATAGCGCTATCGGTACAAGTCTGGCAATATTCAACAAACTGGAGAAGGAAGGTGTCGTCGAATTACAACTGCCAATTCGCCGTAGTAAGTGGGAATGCCCGATTTTTATCCATTCTATTCCACTTCATTCGTGGAGTTAAGTGCAGGTCATACATGGCATGCCTTGCATCATTTGAAGACCCAACTGAAGATGAGCTTACCAATGGAGATTATTAGGTGGTACAAAAGTCAGACTCAGTGAGGAGACATGAGACGTCGCCCCATAAAGGCTTCTTCGAAGTGCCCAATAATGGTTCATATTCTTGATGAACACCTGCAAAATTCGACGTCATTTTGTTGAGAAGTTATTCAAAGAGCAATTCATTGGGATATCATCTTTTGATTTTTACGACGTTACACATTCTTTCCGAAAATTCGGTAATGAACTGCTAATGCGAAGGCTTGGTCCTCTGTCTTCAGAAGTGATGCCATTAAAAAGCCTTCCATTGAAGCTCTCTAGATGAGGTCCAAAAAGTTCAAAGTCCCTCAATAAAAGCTTATCAACTAACATACAACTATTCCGAGAAGGCTATCCACGAGTTCTGGGACCTTCTTGGCTTATTTAGCTTCTTCTTGTTCTATTGTTTATTTCTAAATTATTCAGATTCGCAATCAGAGATTAATATACAGCAGCAGCAGCAACCGAAGGTCCATTCAAGATCCAAGTCGGATGATAATGTTCGTTAGCTTGCTATACTCATTATACCTTCTCATTTCCGAACAATTGATCACGTTGCATGGACTTTCGAAAGTTCAAGGAAGTTTTGGTCTTCTTCAGATACTATCCTCAGATTCGAAAGCCGTCAAGCGTCATCAAGTTCAACCTATAGTAGTGCAACCGAAAAAACAGGACTTTATGGCCAAGAAAGTGGAACCACAGAAGAAAGAAGGTGAAGAGAATTTTATTACATAAAATGAGATTTTCAACCCAAAGCTCCCAATTTTATCTTAAATGATTCACAAATTTATTTGCTGGAAACCCAAGCGGATTGTCAGTTTATGAGCTCCCAAATAAAAGCCAAGTGCGTGCTATTGCGACAACTAATTCGTCCAAAAAAAGCCATAGCAGCCATAGCTTTTGGAATAAACAGACGAGCTGAGCTCATAAGAAAGAGCGTGAGAACCCTTTCACTGTGGGAGGCATCGCACTCATAGGAAGAGTCAGTGGTCATTAGGACCGCTCACACTAAGGCTGTCTAATGCTCGCGAAATCGGAGCACACAATTTTTCTTCGGGTGTACATTCGGGGCAGTTATGCATTACAATCAAAGAGTACAAGTTACCAGGAGTGGTAACTTCTCCCCGAAAACCCCGCCACATCCATTCGCGCGCAGTCGCGCCTATAAAGGAAAAGCTTTTGATCCTCAGTGAAAGGGTAGCTGCCGTGGAGTCACTGTTGCTTGTCGTGAGAACTGAGGGAGAAGTATCCTCACCTTAACGGACCCGGCAATAAAATTTGACTTCAGCGGTGAACCAAATACACAATGGTAAGGCGTTTCAGAGCAAGCTAACCAAAATTTTGTAGTGCCGTCTGTGCTCTCCTGAATCAAGCCATTCTTACTTATCTACTGGGCGAAAGAGCTACCGAAACAACTTGTTCATGGATCCAGCGAAAACACCAAGTCCGACTTTTCCTTCAAAATTTCCTACCCTGCTAGGTCATCCAACATTACTAATTGTATTTTTTTCCCACACACGTGAGCACAATTTTTTGGGAATAATTTTATCGAGTTATTGGAATAATAAGGTTTAATAAGGTTTTTCCTCGTTTTCTTCGGAAATTCCTTCTCCACCTCTCACCGCAACGGAAAGGTTAATGCTTTATTTCAGAGCCAGAAAAAGAAGTGAGCTGCTGGAAGGCCTTCTACCGAGAGTGTGGCACGTGCTGCTTCTCGTTATGGTCCAGCTGCTGACATTAGACTCGACCAGCGCCGTGATCTCTCTGCCCACCGCAACTCACACCGCCTTCTTCCTACATTGACGACATATGAAAAGAGATTTGTCTAGCATAATTCATGTATTTTGTAGCAATTCTAAATATTAAATATTCTAATAGCGCACGGTGGCATTGAATGAAAGAACAGTCAAGCATGTTCTACTAAGTAAAAGACTAAGGGTCTTCGGCTCCGATCAATCCCATTTTTGGGATGCGCCCTGCATTCTACTTCTACTCGGAACCGTAGCGTCATTCTTGATGGGTATGCGGTCTATACAATGACTTACGGTGGGGCCGATGTACAAGTCAGCGCTTAATGCTTCCAGGAGAATCTGACCGACCCGGGACTCGATCCTTAGACCGTGCCTGTATGGGCCACTTAAAACTATATCACATCCGCCTTTCGTTATATTATTATACTATTGTAAAATCAGTTAACTGCTAGCTATTTACAAATATAACTGGGTGTTGTGCCTAAGCATTGTCTATGAGAGGAAAGCGTATCGTTTGCTAACAAATCAGACGGATTCTATCTAAATTTCGTGACTCGATTTGAAGACAAATCGAGAGTGGTGGAGGGAGGGGGGAGGGGAAACCGTGGAGAGATGATGGGGCTATGGGTACATATTTCAAAAAACCTGGGTAATACACATTGTTCGACGATTAAAAAGTTTTCGAAATTATCAAATAATCATTAACTCCTCGGCTCTTTGTCGTCATAGAGTTCGCTTAATTTTCATGAATTCCGGAAGGCAAGTGGAATAAATTAGCCCGAGAGGTATAAGAATCAGTGGCTATATTACTGAAGTTGGTCATTGAGGGTTTGGTAGGAGAGGTATTATCGGATATGAAAGCTGAGGATCGTCTCACAATTTTGGCGATTTGTGGGCAAAACTCCAGTCTCGGACGGGACTCGAACCCGTACTTGTCCTTAAAGGGACTCGAACCCGTACTTGTCCTTAAAGGAGTCCCGGGTAAAGGGGTTCGAGTCCCGTCCGAGACTGGAGTTTTGCCCACAAATCGCCAACCTTGTGAGACTTTCGCTTCGCTCACTGCGGCGTTAAAACAGCAGTTAACAAAACATCAAGTCAAAGCTGAGGATCGTATTTCTGAGTAGCCGAGAGTGTTTTCCATTCCCTCACTAATTCCTTCCAGAACCGAACGTTATTTTCGAGGAGATTTTGTGTTTAGCCTACATATGCGTTAAAACTGCTGTGCGATTCCTGAAAATTGCCAGGCTCTTAACGCATCCCAGAAGACCTTTGTGACAGCTACCATCTCACGATTTTCTTTAGAACTGTCAATCAGGGTACCAGTCATCGTTGAGCATCAGCTCAACAACTGGAACATATCATTCAGTTCACAAATGACTTGGTCTTTCTCAGAGGGACTTGTTTTGAAACACTTACCCTTTCTAGTGGGAACAGCAATTATCCAGTTCAGTTGCAATAGTCACAACACTGCTACTGTTCGTGGGACTCGTACTCGAACCATATTTGCTTGCCTTTGAAGGGTTCGTTTTTAGAAGCTTTCTGAGGAGCTTTCTTTTAACCTCACCATCCAGCTTATTCACAATCATCTCTGTGAGCGGTCAGAAACTTCTAGCTGCTCTCCTCTCCTCGCCTTGATTTCGTATGATTTGCTGATTTCGTGGGTGTGGGAAGGGTCATATTATATAAGTGTGACCTCTCAAGGTTGCCAAAGGATATGCTCTATCTTTCCATCATAGGTTTTCGAGGGAGTATTGTTTGCATAGTTCAATAGATTGTCGTAATCATCAATTTAGCGTTTCCTAGCTATTTTAGGCAGTTTTGAACCGGAATTTGAAGGAACATCCATATTTCCATGTACAGTCTGTGTATAATCTTCCCCAAAGTCACTATGTTCTTGTCATTGCATCTTCAGCCTTCTCCTGGACTCCTAGGTCTGGTAGACAGCTCATCTACGAACTGCGTTAGGCTGCTAAAAGTAGATAAAAACTTAATAATAAAGTCTTTTGCCGTCAATCAATTCCGTCTTGGTATGCGCCACTCCATCCCTTTTCCAATCGGAATCGTAGTGGAATATTGAGTGCGCCTTTGTTCTATGTAATGGCTTATAATGACTAAGCCATGTACAAGTTAGAACCTCTTACTCTTCCAAACATTTCTGGCACCAAACAGCCGATGGGAGAGCGACTTAAAGCTTGGTCAGCTCAAGCGAGTATCAGTGTTAGACTGGATCTCGAGACCATGCGTGCGTGACAGGGCCCTCCAGCGGGAGACGGGCGTTAGGAATTGGGATTTTGGGTAATCGATTCGCCGCACGCGGCTGTCGCGGACCACTCATTCGCCGTTATTACAGCTCTAGCGTTCTTCATACAGCTCAATCGATATGCGATCATTATTTTATGCATAATTCTACTATTAGTACTTTTGTTCTTGTATTTCTTACCTACTGCTGCATCCTGCTACATTCCTTCGCGCGCGACGCCCCTCTCACCGCGACGCGACCATTTCGTTCCTAACGCACCACACCCCGCCTCCTGCCACTTAACCGCCTCCGTCCTGACAATTAGAAAGATACGTACCGTGAAAAATTGGAAAATGTCCTTCTCCTATCCACTCCACTGAAAGAGTCAGAGAGATGCCCTGTAGATTCTGCCAAAGCGCTGCAGGAGTATAAACATTGACAAGGCTATTTTGAAGATAATTATCATACAATTGATTGAACATATTGAGGGATTTAGTATGCTGAAGTCTTGCCTCCTCCCGCAGCACTATGACAAAAGTGGGGCAGTGACAAGCGATGGTCTGGGGGTGTGGTGCAGTAGGAACGAAATTGTCGCGTCGCGGCGAGAGAGACGGCGCGCGCAAAGGAATGTAGTAGAATACAGCAGCAAGTAAGAAAAACCAGAACAAAAGAACTAATAGTAGAATCATGCCAAGGGTAATACTCGCACAGCAATTGAGCTGTACGAAGAACGCTATTACTGTTATAACGAGGGAAATGGCCCGCGACAGCCGCGTGCGGCGGATCGATTACATAGAACCGTTCCTATTGCCCGTCTTCCATGGTCTGGTGGAGCATCGTCATTGCTCCATCTCTGTCCCAGGGCTCAACATGACCCCCTGAGCTTTCGATAGTGGGACACTTGACATGGCGTCACTCCGGCTAAGTTGAAACTGTACCAGCAATTTTAACTTAGCCTGTATGACGCAACCATTCAATAACATCTCGATTCTATCTACAACTCGATGAAGTTGTATCCGATTGACTACTTATTGGGAACCTTCACAGAGAAGTTAGTGACTGTTCGAATTCTCATCCGACATTACAGTTAGCAACATTTGTGGTTCGATCGTACTCGGCAAATTGCTTGTACTGCCATTTCCATTACATGAGCTGGTCCGGCGACGACTTTAATATTCGACAGTGGATGAGGTTTTGCACTTGAAAAATCCTACCGTACTTGCAAATATCGAAAATCCAACGACAACTCATCAAACTTCTTGGTAGAGGATTATGACCACGTAATTTGCCTTGGGCTGAACATCCGAAGAAGACCAAGGGATAAACAGAAACTGAGGGATTGGCATCTATTCCTTCGGACTTTCCTAGTACTTTTCGAATCACCTCGTTTCTCCTGCTATGCTCTGAAGCATTCACCATTTCGAAATCTCTCCCTGAACACTTCAGCTGAAGCTCTTCATAATCCATTACGTTGGGAGACTGCTGCGCATAATGATTCATGAGGATTCTTGGATTCGATTAGATCGGGCCTGTTTTTAGACCCCATAAAAGACGTCTTCCAAACAGACACCATCCTATTTCGCCAGCTACGTGATCAATACGTACCATGAGGGGCAGCGAAGGTCTGTGAAGAATGACTACAAGTACAACCCTAAGAAGTAGTAGCACTCATGGAGCCCATTGGGGAGTGGTCAGCACCTAGTCTTTCACCCACCTTATT